CTGCTGAATGCGGTGGAGACTCCGCCTAATCGCCTAGTGCCGGGAGTTACAGCCATTGCTAGCCGGTGTGTACCGGCAGACGAGGATGACTTTGAGGAGCAGCATGATACTCTCCGCCGCTACCAAGCCCGGGGCAACCAACAGCGGCCTGTCGAGGGAGTGGACTGCGCTAGTGCGCTACAACATTTACTACCTAACCCCACCGATTGTCTTACCTTGCTTTCCCTCCCCCTGTCCCTGCCTGCGTGTGAAGTCAAAATCAGCCCGCAGAATTTTGGGGTGAAGGTGGTTGACTTCGCTGACCGGGCACTCATGCTACGGCGCTGTACTGATGGCGAAGCATTTCGCGTCTGTCTGACACCCATGCTGGCAGTGTCCGTCGCACTAGCACAGTTTTGCGACCCAGTTCTGCGCCTACCTGAAGGACGAGTTTTCGATTTGTCCTGGTATGAGCTCGCTCGGCCGGAGATTTGGTGGTGGCTGCTCCTGGATGAGCTTGCTGGGCTCAAAGGGTCGCTCCACTGTGCATTGGAAGGACGGAAGTCCCCTGTTCGGGACGGCAGTTTGGTGCAAATGTCCTTGGCTCCCAAGCGAGGACATCTCCCGGCAGGCAACCGACGTGGCCCCGGATCCAGCCATCGGCACTCTACTGGGGATGGCGGCGCGAGCCTTGACTCGAACCAAGGGACCCTTCTGCTTCACTGCGGTGTGCTATTGCCAGTGCAGTTGCTGCTCTATCTCACAAGGGCATTAGCAGACGACCCTGCGGCTGCTCCACTCTTGCAGCTCACCAACGTTACTCCGACTCGCGACGGTCAGCACATTGAGGTGCGAGTCAAATGCGAGGTGCCGGCTACCCTGGTGGGCCAGCCCCAAATCGCCTCATTGCTGACCGGCTGATGGCGTGTTTCGAGAGTGGACTCCTCCCAGCCAGACGCGGCGAGTTCGATCCGCGAATGTTCACGTACCCGGGAGCGTATCGGGGCACTTTTCGGTTGCTCTTTCCGCTTGCGGACATCCCGCTGGGTCTGCAAGCACAGCCTTCCCTTTCTATTCAGGCCGCGGGCCTGTTACGGCCTGTTGAATAGTGCACTGTGGCGCCTTCGTGCTGCTGCTACCACTGATGGATGGGATCTCCGGGCGGTAGTGGCCTATTGGATACGTGGACCACAAAAGAAAGACTTTTACTTTCCAGACCGGTTGTGGCGCTTCGCGCATTTCGACGCATTTGACTCGAAAGCGATGGTCCTCCTTCACCGGTTGGTAGCCCGGGAAGAGAATCAGACGCAGGAGCTGCCGGGTGGCGAGCGTCCCTGGATCAGGCTGGGGCATCCCTGGGCGCACGAAGACTGGAGGGCAGCGGCAGAGGAGTTCCGCAGGCAAGGGGGCCTCGGACCTGGCCTCCAATTGCCATGTATATCCACCGATCTAATGCCACATCTGCATGCCCCCGATCAGGATACTCACCAATACACCTTTCGAAGGGTGACGGAAATCTATCGTGAGGGCAATTACCAGCTGCTCTATCTCTGAAGGGAGAGTCATTTCCCTTCGAGCGGTCGTGACATGCAGCGCCAACTGGACAGCTGGCCGCGCCAAGCGGTGGCTGGCCCCTCTGGTTGACAGTCAGTCTATCAGCCGTTTGTGACCGACGACATACGTCGTTGCGTCTTTCTCTTCTCGAGCAAGTGACACCTGGGTTTACTCGGCTTAAGCGCGCTTAGCCGAGGTCGGACTCAAACGACGTGGGCAGGCAGGCCCTCGCCACCATGTCGATGCACCCGATGGTTGGATGCCGGCCACGCTTGCCTGTGGGCTTTGGAATTCTGGCTCTGGGTACCCTAGTTGTGACGGAACAAACGGGATCAGGCGGTTCATCACTGTCTGTGATCGCTGTCCCCCTGTGGAAGCCGTTGCGACTGAAGCTTCGCCGCCTGCCGGCCTACGCCGCTCGCCCCTTCACCTGTCCATCGGTCTATTCCCACCACCGAATGGTGTCTTCCATTGCCATAGCCGCCACAACCGTGCGGCGATGCTGTGGAAGCGTGTGACCTGCACGTCAATGTCCACCTTGGCGATCTCTGCCTGCCTTAGCGGCTGACCCAGTGTTCCAACTCACGGCTTGCGACATTGATTTGCTTCTGCTGGCGGCGGCGTCCATGTGCACCAGAGTGTTCTGGTCGCACAACTTGTCTGGTTGGACTCCGGCAGGTGCCGAGTGGGTGCAGCCCACACTTGTTGCCAGTGTTACATGCCGAGTGGGTGTAGCCCACACTTGTTGCCAGTGTTACATTAGAGCGCCGTCTTTGTGCTTGGCACGCCTAGGGACATGATGGCGGTTGCATGAGCGGGTTACTTGCCTGCGGCACTGGTCTTCGCACTCCTCCTCCGGAAGCCGCTCACACTGCAGTGGGCCATGGACTCTTGGATTTTGGTGTGCACGATCGTGACGGAACAAAACACAGGGGTTGTCCGTTGTCTGGCGAGACTAGAACGGCAACCGGAGCCTGGACTTGGCTCCACCTGTTGTTTTGGGCAGCTCTGAGCGACGGCTCATTGTTGCTCCTGACCGGTCGCTGAGGCTCCGTAGTTTGGTGCTGAACGGCTAACACCGGCAAAGCCTGTGCGCCGCAGCCCTTTGTAGAGCTTCGCTTTGCTGTCTCACCGCTTTGTTGTAGTTTGTTGTTTGTGTTAGTTTCGCTTGTTTGTAGGGACCGAGTGCTACAGCCGTAGTCGACGAGGCCCAGTCAAGCCAAAAAAAACACTGGGACCAAGTGCATCCACTGCTGTCTGTGAGGCCCGCCCACGCCAAAAAAAAAAGCTTCGCAGGTACAGCACCCTTCCCTTCCTTGGTGAGGGTAACATCTCGATCCCGGAGCCCACGACGGGACGCTCCTGCTGGATGTCTTTTGCGACAGCAACTGGGCAGGCTCTGCGGACCACAGCGACCCAGACCCACTCCGCGGTATAAGCCTGCCGAGAGGCCCTTCGTCCACGAACTGGCCACGCTGGATTTTACTTAAGGTCAAAATTCCGAGAATCAGCAGCAGCGGGATCACGGCAGCCCATTGGCCGGGCACACTAAGACACCTTGATGTGTCCGAATTCTATGTGCAATGTGCCGCAGCACAATTTTCTGTGCTATGCCCGACCAGGCGCACGGTTCATCTTTACAGAAACTCCGTCGGTTTGGCATCGGTACCCTCAGGTCAACACCGAACATCTCTGTTTCACCTCTTGGTGTGGAATGATCATTGGTCACGTGTTTCCGCACTGCACGGAGATACGCGGGTGGGTCCGGCAGCTTCCAGTCTGCAGAAGCCATCACTTCGTGCGTGACGGCAAGTGCGGAAAGAGGCCGCCCGCGGGGCCAAGCCCTCGGCATTGGAGGGGGATGCGAGAAATCACGTAGGATTCCTTAATCCCAACACCCAGGGCTTGAGCTAGGCTACCCCTGTGTGTTTTGCACATGTACAGTTTTCACGCTTCTTTACCACTGCGCACCGCAGCCATTTTGGGTTTCGAAAAGAGCTGCACTTGCGTTGAGCCCCGTAGGTGCCCGTAGGTAGAGACCCGGCCGATTTAGGCTTCGCAATAAATGGTGGAGTCGGATCTGGCCAAGTGAAGACGTATTCATTGATTCTGACTTTGCTGGCTTTGCGAGCTGCATCCACAGCTGTCACCATCTGGTTTTATGCGGCACTAGTGCGTCAGTTGGCACTGGAAGCGTTTTCTCCATGGCTACCATGCATGTCGGTGCGCTGCCTAGAGTGGAGGTGCTGGCGCATGTCCAGCTTGCTGATCTTTTATGCGACTTCCTCTTCTGGCATCTTCTCAACTGTGGGTATTGGTGGGTTTGGAGTGTTGACCATTTTTCGTAGCTGGGTTTGGCCATTTTTGGAACGGGCTTGGAGTGGGTTTGACTGGCTTTCTGCCTAGAGCTTGGATTGGATTTGGGTGGATTTGGTGGTTTGACTGTGTTTAGAAGCGCTTGAAATGGTTTTAAGTTTGCTTTGTGTGAACAATCTGGTGTTGCGAGAGGCTCATTTTCAGGGTCGAAAAACAAGAAACGGTGAATCAAGTTGTACCTCCACGGCTGTCTGAAACGGAGGCTCTGTTAGCATGGAAAAGTTGACAAAGATTCAGTGAAATCGTTTTTCTGGCATTTTTCCTTGCATGTTGCGGAGTTTTTGTGTGTTTTTATTTTGCAAAGTTTTTTGCATTCTTCACAAACCCGTGCAGCCATTCGAAACCAAACAATCGACACTTTTACCATCTGGTAGGCTGACGATAAGAAAGTGTTAGTTCAGTATTTTAGGACGTTGCGGCGGAATCTAGCAGTGTCTGGGTTGTTACTGCAGGCTGTGCAAAGCGTACACTGAGATACGCCGTTAGCTTAGATGCCTGGCCACCTTGGGCTGCCTGTGCAACCGCTTTGCGACTTCATCCCGCCGGGCACTCTGTGACTTTGTGGCTGCCAGGGAACGTTGCAGGAGTGTTTGTACTTTGGCAGGAGTGAAGCGTAGTGCTTCTGAGTGACTCTCAAGTACCCTCGGCTGATGTATTACATGAGATATAGAGTGTAGTTTACGTTCTTGACAGGAGGTTTAGGGCAGCACGGCCGTAGGGCCTGTAGGGTTTCGAATTGATTGGAGTTTGGGGTTTAGGGTGCTTAGGGTATCTGTGATGTTGGGTGTTGAGGGTTTGAAATTGAAAGCTTCACCCCCGGGCTGAACGTTTCGTGGCTGCAGAGGAGGCGCGCCTCTCAGTCGCAGGGGCTTATGGGATATTTCGATATCTTGGACAGGAATCATAATTCACAGAAAAATCGAAACATAACTTTGAGGGTATATTTATGAATTTCATTTTTATAGTATATGCATATATGCTGCATATAGGCTTATATAGGTATATGTATAAGGTATATATACATATGTATAAGATATCTTTTTAAACTGACCCTGGAAGAGTTTTTATAGCAAGTGCTTGCTACCATTGCCATGGTGCGGGTGTGGTCGAACCAATCGCCGGCGGCCTATCAAGAAGCGCAGATAATTGGCGCCTTGAGAGCATCGCCGGAGCATTTGGAGAACGATTTCCCCAATCCAGATTCCTACAGTTTCATGGCGCGAGAATTAGAGACGCGTGTGGGGCCATGCCCTTCGGAAGTTGTTGACACCTGGAATCAAAGGGGAGGCTCCGGTACTCCATCGCCAGTTTGGGTCTGGCTTCAATACAAAAGCCGTGAGAAGCCTGCGTACGAGCCGAATGCAGGCTTATGTGGAAGACGGACGATTTGCATCGAGGCAGAGATCAGTCGAGCGGATGTCCTTGGCAGTCAGTTTGGAGCTTTCCACCATGTCTTGAACGATTGGATGCTAGCTGTCACCGAGGAAGAAGATGACGAATTCAAGAAGCTGAAAGACACAGAGCCGGAACGCTGGCGAGAGCTGAAAGTGCAATCCTGGCAGCACATCTTTGACTTAGACTGGCACGGAGAGGAATACAACCTTCAAAGAGCAGAGAATGCCCAGATCCAAGGCGTGCTGTGGCAGCTCCCCATGACTGCTGTAGAACGTGCACGTCGCATCATCGAGATCGGACAGTCGCGTGGAACCGAGGGGGCCGAGGTGGACTACTCAGGCGTGACTGTGGGGGAAGACGTGCAGCTCCGAGCAGAGTGGATCTCGGTTCGCGGCTACAACCCACCCCTTCACTTGCGTGTCACCGTCACTTCTGTGACAAGCAGCGGTCTTGCTGAAGCGCTGGGTGTTTGTGAAGGGTGGACCGTTGCGTGCATTCTGACCGCAGTAGACGATGAGGACCCCTTGCCATTGCTCGAGAAGCAGGACGGCATCCATGTGTCTGACAAGATCTATCCTAAGAAACAACCTCCACCAGCAGCCGAGCTACTGAAGCAATTGCAGGGACTGCGAGGAGTGCAAGTCTTCTTCGAGGGTTTGTCGGATTCGGATTCGGATCGAGAGATCTACGACGAGGCCCAGCAGACACCGGAGATACACCAATCTGAGAGCTCCAGCGACTGAACCCACGCGGAGAAATTGACCGAGGATGTCCTGACCCCTTTTTGGCCCATGGACCCGGTGAACCCTAGTCACCCATAGTGCCTTGTGGAGGCTGCAAGGACCCCTACCCAACCCGACCAGGGTTTAGGGTTTAAGGGTTTAGGGTTTAGGGCTTAGTGTTCTCCCACCTCTTGGAATCCTGCTGCAGAGCGATTGCAAGTGGATCACCATTCAGCACTAGGCCACTGCTGGGTAGGAGCCCTGCCATGCTAGTAGACTTAGGGTAGAGATCCGCAGGGACGCACTCATTGGACAGGAAGCAAAGACAGAAGCAGCGCGCTCTGCCAGGCAAAGCAACATGCGTCACGTTGCTTCTTTGGTTCTGCCAGCAGAATGTAGGAGCCTGACTAAGAAACCCTGGGCCCACAACCCCAATATAGTAGGATTCATATAAGGAACCCTGACAAAGGCCCAAGGTTTCTGAATAAGGTTCCTACATATTTGTAGTACCCTTTTATATCCCTTATAGTAACCTTTATAGACCCCTTTATAGCGTTTTGAGTCGTTCGCCTATTGCCCGCTGACCCAGGTCCAGAATCTGATCTTCGCAGACTTTGTGATTGCCTCTGTGCGTTTGTGCGTCCGTGTGTTTTGTGCGTAGCTTTCGGATTAATCCAAAACCCTCGGATTAGCTTCCTCGATCTATTCAGATTATGAAGCCCCTCAGCAATCCAGTCTATGAGTTGCGCCCAATACCCCCTGAAGAAATCATGGGTTGCGACTGTACTTCTCGCCAACATGGTAGAACATTCGCCTATTCAGATTCCCTGTTGTCGCGACAACTGCTCTGTCTCCGTAGGCGTGGTTGTGTTATGTGATAGCTCGATTGTTTCACATGCTGTTGTTGTGCGCAGTCTTTGCAGCGAGCCAGCTTTGACACGTGTGGGAGTTTCCGAAAACAGGGGGCCCTGATATAGGAACCTTAATTGTGAGCCTTATACAGATAAGTATATGTATATATATATATATATAGAGTACCCTAAATAGTAGAATCCTCATTATAAGGACCCCAAACAAGGGAACCCTTTTTTTCGGCAACTCCCATGTAGCAGCATTTCTAGTGGGCATGCAGTGGGACTTGCCAGAACTGCGCTTAGCGCCCGCGTCTCGTGCAAATAGCCGTCATGCCATCAATGCCGGAAGAAAACGTTGGGTCCGCTTGTTTCGGGAGGGTTCTGTCGGGCTGGATTCTAACTCTGCTCCCTCCACACCTGATGCCAAGAGGGAGTTCTGATACGGCCCTGGCAGTCAGGATTCAGTCAGATGCCGAGAATCCACCCGCGAAGGCTTTGCCGTAGCATTTTTGCAGTAGTTCCCAGGAGAAAGAGCGGAGTTGCCACGCGCGAAGCCCAAGTCTAAATCCTGACACCCTGTCCCAAAGCTTGATCCCGAGCCTTCAAAGCCTGTCATGTCCAGCCCGTTTGCTGCGCGAAACCCTGCGTTTGGCCCCAGCCGGATTTTTTTAGCTACGCCCCGTCCCTTCACCTGCTTCTTGGCTGCAGTCATGCTGGGGGGATTCAGGCAAAGTTGAACAGCAAAACCCTTAACCGTAGGACTGTACGCCATAAATTCCACAACCACCAGCCCCCCTGAGCCCCACTCCCCACACTCCAACATGGGACTTAGTAAGTAAGGTTATAAGTACCCTACTTGGGGTTATAAGTAGTTATAAGTATAGTTACCTTAATAATAACCTTAATTACTAAGTCCCATGATCCTTTAAGCAAGCTGAGGTGCCCTTCCGACAGCTCCTACCATGGCTCGCATTGCTTCCGCCACCGCCCTTGCCGTGACCGCCGGTGGATGCCTTGCCTTCGTGGCCCCAAAGGCTGAGCAGGCAGGGTCGGGTACTTAAAGGATCATGGGACTTAGTAACTAAGGTTATTATTAAGGTAACTATACTTATAACTACTTATAACCCCAATTAGGGTACTTATAACCTTACTTACTAAGTCCCATGATCCTCCAAGTAGGGTAGTCCGGTAGGGTACGGTAGGGCAGGGTAGTCGGGTAGGGTAGGGTGGGGTAGGGCAGTGGGGTAGGGGTAGGGGTAGGGTGGGGTAGGCAGGGTTTAGGGTTTAGGGGGGGGGTCAGGGCGTCTGGGATTGGGGTTTCTCAGAATACCCACTATTCCTGTATAGGGCTTATCAAGGAATCGTATACTATGACTACTACTTTTTGGGGGGTTCAGGGGTTTAGGCTTGATGTTTTGGCAGGTCCAAGGCAAGGCTTTACCTCCGAGTTTTTGTGAGTAGCACCGGCGGGGGGGGATTGGGGGTCTTGCTTGCGCCGTTGGGGTTTACGGTTGCGAGCTTAGAGTTTAGGGTCTAGGGGTCTGGTTTAGCCCATTTGGAACTTGGTGTTGCTGCGCATTTCTTTCGATTGCACAGAAGAAGCGGATCCTAAAGATCCAAAATGTGGAGACCAGAAAGATGCTATCGCCAGGGCTTGTTATTCCTTTTAGACCTGAACCTAGAGACTCCAATATGCCTCAATTAAGGAATATACCTTAAATTATAGTAGGACCCCTAATCTGATGTAAGGTATATTCCTTAGTTAAGGGAAATTGTAGTCTCTAGGTTATTTCTTTTGGACTTGAAGGGGCTTGAGAGTTTGGCGTTTGGGGTTCGAGGTTTCGTTTTTTTTTGAGTTTGGGGGAGCTTGGAACCCGACACCCTAATCTCCAAAGCTTACCCCCAGAAGCTCTAACACCGCACCTCCTCACAGATATATGGGTGGTTGTCAAAATCCCCTTTTTGGGTACCCTAAATATGTGGTGCCGTACTATAAAAGGGACCCCAAAAGGGACCATAATTTTGACAACCACCCATATGATAGTTATATATGCATATGAGTTTACAAGCCTGTTGATCCCATGCTGCGTCTCGTTCAAAAACGATGTAAGGCCTTGTTAAGATCTTTCCGGGACCTGAACCTCAGATGCTTCACTTTGAGCCTCGTCCTTCATGTTGACACCGTCTTTCATGAACCCTACACCAGCAACATAATTATTAAGGCCTCTTTTCTAAACCACCATATTACCCTTTATAGCAATCCTTATAGAACCCCTTATCAACCCTTGAGTCCGACAATCTCGAACCCTAAACCCAGAACAAGGAGACTCCAATATCCCTTAATTAAGGAATATACCTTAGATCATATTCGGGATCCTACTATAATTTAAGGTATATTCCTTAATTGAGGGATATTGGAGTCTCTAGAAAACTGTTGGCGCATTCCAACGACGGTTGTCAGGCCAGCTCGGTTTCCCTCCGCGCCTCCGCACCGAGCGTCCAGGCGCAAAAAGAGACGGTTTCCTATCAGGCTCTGGGTTTAGCAGAGTGTTTTCGTGGTGTGTCCTCGTGCCTTGAGGTTTAGGGTTTAGGGTTTCGGGGTTTAGGGGTTTAGGGGTTTAGGGTTGAAGGTTTGGGGGTTTAGGGTCCGTCTCACAACTTTTTTCGGGATCTGGTGACAGTCCCTCCTGTAGAGCATGGCGCGAGGATCGCTGAAGCCCAAGTCCAAGGCCCTAAGCCGGCTGAGCTCTGATCTGTCAGGGACTGGCATCTGAACTCCAAACCCTGAACCCTTAGGTAAATAGTTCTCAAGAGGTTCCCTTCAGGAAGAATGCGTCACTGCTTTCTAGAAGAGCTGAAAGGGGGCCCTGATTTAGAGAACCATCAAACTTCAAACCCGCACAGAGAGAACTCTCTAATCGTAGGAAGCCTTCACATGGTCCAATTAAATCTTATTAAAGTCTGGGGGTTGCAACCTTGGACAATGGCGAGTCCCATAGGGGCCTCAAGAAGTAGCCTAATTCACTCCTCAACATGAGCTTTCCTCGAAAGGTTCAGAATATGTGGTCCTTCGAGACCCATACTTGGAGGTTCATGGGTAGTTATAAGTAGGGTCCCTTTAAAGGGATCTATAGGGATTCTATAAGGGTATAGGGTTTAGGGTTCAGGGGTAGTTATCAGTAGGGTTATAAGTAGCGCAACTATACTGATAGCCCATATTTGGGGAGGCTTATAACCCTACTTATAACTACCCATGAACCCTAAACCCTATACCCTTCTAGAATCCCTATAGATCCCTTTAAAACGAACCTCCAAGTAGTCTATAGTTTATGCCCTGTGCCACCTTGAGCCCGAAGGCCCCCTGGGAATTTCGTGGACATCGGGATTGTTGGAGAAAATCCCAAGACCCTAAACCCTGAACCCTGAACCCTAAACCCTGAACCCTAAACCCCAAACCCTGAACCCTAAACCCTGAACCCTAAACCCTAAACCCTGAACCCTAAACCCTAAACCCTGCATTCCGCTAAATTACTTACCTTTGGTTAGTAGGGAATGGAGGAATGGGGTACAATTCTAACTACTATTGCTACCATTCTTCCATTCCCTACTAACCAAGGGTAAGATTAGTGCCCCCCCCCTATTGCACGCTGGGTACTTGCAGCCTCATTAGAAGTCAGAGTCGAAACGGAGAGGCCAAAGCGGCGCCTTCCGCAGCCTGGGGCGTGGGCAGCGCGGCGGTGGCTGCAACAGCAGTGGCTGCCGGCGCTGCACTTCGACAGAGCGCCTTCGAGACATCCAGCGTTTTCGGGCTTTGGCATTGAGGGTCGATGTACGGCTTAGGCTGAAAGGCCCTAAGTCCAAGATCTTTCAGAAGTTCAGAAGTGCCGGCAGGGTGATTCGAAGGGGAGTTAAAGGCACGCACCCTGGCCGGGCTGAATCTTACCTTTGGTTCGCAGGGAATGGAAGAATGGTAGTAATAATAGTTATAATTGTACCCCATTCCTCCATTCCCTATTAACCAAAAATAAGGACCTTTTTTGGGGGCCCTAGCTGCTTTCACGGAGTCTCGCCGCCTCAGAAGGCTGCCATTTTACGCTACCATCTAAGGAGAGCGCATCATTTGCTATACTTGGAGGATCATGGGACTTAGTAAATATGGTTATAAGT